TTGGCTTGGACATGTCCATGTACATTATTAGACACAAAATGATTATATGGACTTGGACATTGGACATTGTCCAAGATTGTCCATGTCCAATAATTTACCTGAATATTTGTCCATGTACAACACTGGCGTACAGTACATGTTGGCTGTGTTCGTTATTTAAACTACTTTACTATGTTCTCTATATAATAAATATACTAATTGTACGAATTTGAACGAAGGTTGTTGATATGGTACGATATCGTACCAGCTTGGTTGATAAGGTACGAAATTATACAATCTTAGACAAAAGGTACAAATTTGAAAAATGCGCCACATTCACCAGTACATATGCATCTAATCTACTATTTACAGAAAATTTATCCCAAACTACGATTTACCCCATCACAACGTGTATATATTATCGCTGTTTTCAAAATCCTGTATCGATTGCAAAATCGATTGTCACTTTTAGGGGTATACTCCTGCATCCCCAAAATTTATGATAACAATGGTAAAGGTTAACTTATTCGTTAACATTAATAATAATAATTACCAAAAATGAGTTTTGCAATCGATTTCCACAATTAAGTGCTAATCTTATAGGGATACAGAAATTTAAAATAATCTCACATATAATTATAGTACATTCAATTTACTATATGTTTAAATATTACCTTTATATCTGTTTTTTATTCAGCATTTTTATAATATATAAAGAATCTCTTTTTCTGCATATGGTACATTTCTGTTCTCGCTTAAATTTCTTGCGCAGAATAAATATTTTTTAAATCTCACTTTACGCACTATGTCTAGCGAAAGCATTTTAGAAGATTACAAAAAAATCAAATATTTTGCAATTTTTCCAGCTCTCAATGTTGCACGCGTTGGTAACTCTGATGAATATTATGTGGGATCTGAAATTCCCGGAGTATATGTTGGAAGTATGTTATGAAAATTTTATGTTTGTGATATATTTTATTTTTAAATCCTCATGACCTTCTATATATAACCTATTTTTGAGAAACTGAATAAATAAGCCTTTTAAAAATTTGTTAAAATTATTTATAAAGTTATAGCAATTAGAAACATGATTGTTATGCCGTCATAAATTATAATATTTTTGTATTAATAACATACGCTCATTTAATCTTGAAATTTTTACAATAAGAGGGAGATAAAACGGATTGTGATTGATTAATACACCGCTATAAATTATGATATATTTACATATTCATAATTAATAACATACGCTCTTTTTATCTTGAAATTATTACAATATAGAGGGAGATGAATCTTTCCTCTTCAAGGATAGTAATAACAAAGTAAAACCACAAGCTGCAAGGTTCAGAATTTATGGTTATGATGAAAGACATCGTCCTATACGGGAAATCAAACTCACTGATGCTGATGCATGTTCTGATGTGAAAATAAAAATTACTTGGAATGTCGAACTCGCTAATAAGAAAGCAGCACATACACAATTTTCTGGTATCTTAAAATATAAAGAAAGCGATCCTAAACGAAATGCTAGTATGTAATTATAAATAGCTTATACGTACGTATCTTTAAACTTCAAAAATATTAATTAATATATTCTATAAAAATATATAGAATGGCCTTATGATAGGTCTACACTTATGGCAATAACAAGGGGAAGCCTATCCTCTGATGAAGAACAAAAAACAAAAGAATTAACGGCAAACGTTTATCGTCATAGCAACAACAATAACAGCGGGAAAGAGCTCCATTTAGGCAAACTAATACTTGAAAATACCGGAAGTTTACTAGTTATTGGTGGAAAAGGAGAGTCGGGAAGTGTCAAAGATGGTTAGTACTTGTTCATACAGAATGAATGTTTTTAGAGCTGTTGCTTATACCAATTGTATCACAGGTGCCTTAATCACTCAGTATGCAAACAACGATTATTGGTACGATGACACTTCTGATGGTTCCATAGATGCTACTGTTGAAATTGGTATAGACTCAACCTCGATGACCACGATCCAGAATAGAGGTACATGCATAGACATTTATATTTATATGAAAAATATAGTGATTAATGACATATTATATGTACTTAATAAATTTAGAGGGCAAATCATGGATCCTTGTTGCGCCTCCAAAATACGCTCCAGGTATTCGTAACCTGGTACCATTATATCAAATTATATCAGAAACACAGCACCCTGTCGATCCAGAACATCCAATCGATCCAGAAGTTGTATTCGATCTAGATAATCGAGTTGATCCTGAAAATCCAAAGGTCTAAATAATATTTATGTTATATTATAAAAAAAATTGAAATACATATATTTATATTATGTTGTGCCCAGATGAGAATTTTATTTATATTTTTTATTTTTTATCTTTTTTTTTTTTATATTTATTATTATTATTATTATTTGATATCTTACAGGTAAATTATTATCGAGATATCCGGCCGATATTTGAATCTGTTTGTAGGACTTCTTGGGTCAATCAGATGGCCTTCAAGGGTCATGGCTTGCATAAGCAAGGTGACTTTTTAAATCCTGACATGGAAAAACATTTGAAAAATCCCAGAGATAATATAAATAATAAGGACTTGAGGTTAGTCATTTAATTTACATCTTAGTTTGTTAATATATTTTAATTCCATTGTCATTTTATAGGAATAACATTCTCTCTCGCGTCCGGATACCTAAATATCTAGCATCTTCAGCCGAATTTAACGGGCAAGCTTATGATTATTTTATGCCACCTTTATCTGGGAATGATGGAGATACTATACCTACTGCTCCAGATACATATTTGACTGTTAGTCGCGGTCAATATATGTAAGTTTTTATTAATTATGCTTATTTTAATATCATTTATCCTGAATTAATACATAACTTTTTACAAGTTTATTGCAAAAATGGGCCGATGGAGATTTTGAGGAAGGAAAGCCGCCAAAAGAATATTATTACAAATTTGAAATGAATGATGCGAATTATCCTCAATATGTTGAATGTAAAAAGAATTATAAATTTGAAGAAATTGTTCCTAATGTTCTTGACCAAATTAAATGTCTTAACAAAGCTGCGCTTCAATGGTGTGTTGGAGGTGCATTCTTTCCTGGAATTGAAATGACTTACCTCTCTTATGACAAAAATACATTCGAAGAAAAATATGATTTCAGGTATGTTTTATATAAAATCTAACCACATATCAGATATATATTAAATATATTGATATATCTCTCATTTTGTCATATAATTATACACAGAATCAATGATAAAAATATAGGCCCTGGTGATATTAATGCATTTATGGCTTTACCCTGGCAAGCCGATTTTTACGAATGTAATACGCATTGGTGGCCAGCACAAAGACCCGACATAACAATTCCATACTCAGACGTATGTAAGAAGAAATTAACGAACTAGCTGACAAAATATACATATAATTAATGATTTAAATTTTAGGAACGAAAAAAAGACGTTGAAAAGTATGGTGTTAGTTTAGATTACTTTGAGGATTGGACTCGTGGATTTAGAACCGATGAACCAAACAGAGGCATGCCCAAATGGGGCGACATGGATATGGCTAATAAATGGGACAGGCAAGTTAGAAATGTATTGTAGTGCAGTAATGTTAAACTATATACTATATACTATATTTATGCATTATATAATTCGAACCTATTTTATAATTTTTAACAACATAGATTGGGTTTTATTGTTGAAAAACAACTGGAAGGCGAAAATAAAGCATTCTTTGAAGTAGAACGCAACGACATTTTCAAAGTAGAGATGAATACTGTAGATGAAAAAGAAAATAAATTCAATCTAGATGATGTGAGCTATTTTTATGTGATAATATAAAATACTTACAGCACTATATAGATTAAACGATATTACGTATGTTTCAGCTCCATGAGATGCTTAAAATTGCGATGATGGTTGAAATCTCTACTATTCCAGCATATCTTTACGCTTTATACTCGATAAAACCTGGAACTGAAATTGGTGATGAAGTGAGGGCTCAAATTCGGCATGTCGCTGCAGAGGAAATGTTACATTTGTCGCTTGTGGCGAATCTTATTACTGCCATTGGTATAAAACGAAAACAACTAATTTTTTTATTCTTTAGAAGCAATATTTAATGAACAAAATAAAGTAATCTTGATTTGTCATTTATTCATAGGACGACAACCCAAATTTTATTCCCAAGAAATGATTCCTTTCTATCCGAACCCTCTTCCACATATAAAACAAGGTAAATAATATAATAAAACTTGTTGAGTAATATTTTACTGAAATTTTAATTAAATACAGTTAATGATAGTTTAATTTAATTTATCATAATAACTATCTTAATTATTCATGAAACAACTGATAAATTATTTATGGCGAATCGATATGTTATTTACGTCAGCTAAACATTGAAATTATCGATTCAAAATTTCTCAGTTTTCAAGAATAAATATATCCATAAATATAATATAATAGCTTCTTTCACAAGTTTTTATTGCGATGCTTATTGTAAGTTTATTATTTAATTTAGGCTCACTTATTATCCATCTTTCAAAAGCAAATAAAATTACTCTCGAAACTTTTATAAATATTGAAAAACCTGATCCTGATCAAATAACAAATGTGGGAATAGATGAAGATGAAATCAATGCCGATAGTATTGGCGATCTCTATGATGGTATTAAAAAAATCTTTAAATTTCTCGATAAACAAAACAAAATTAAATATGATACGCTATTTCAGGTGAGTAGATTTATTTCAGATATTATTATTATTATTTTGTCTGCAATATGGCCTTTACAACATGAATAATTTTGTATGGACGCAGCTTGGACCCGGAATGGGTTACGCACCCAGTTCTGGTGATAAAAATTTTGAAGGATTAATTCTTGTCAAGGAGTGTGCTGATGCTATAAAAGCTATTAATTTGATCATTCATCAGGTTTAGTACAGTTGTATTTCTTTTCTATGAAATATCTTTTTTTTAAGTAGTGATTGCTGATATTTTGATTTGTACAGGGTGAAGGGGGTAGGTGCATTGCTGAAAAAATAAAGGCTACGGTCAATGTAAAAATTAATGGTGAAATCAAAGACGGAAGCAAAGTAAAAATCCAAGGTGCAATCGAAATAACATCTCAAGGAAAAAAAAAACGGAACAATAAAAGGAACGATTGGAGTGACTTCATACGAAGGTGGTAAAATAACTGGAGAAATTTATGGAAAAGTATTAGGAGAAATTAAAGGAATTATTAAGGGAACTGTCGACGATGAACCAATTTTAATAAACGATAACGATAAAGTACCTGTAATTAACGGTGGAGTGATTAACAATGGAGAAATCGATGATTCACATTATGCAGTATTTAGCTATTGTTTAAGTGAAATTGAAAGTGCATCTGAATCAGACTATCAACTCTGGCCTGTTGTGGATGATCCAAACGCTACGTAAGTGAAAAGTTTTCAATTCCTGTGGTTTTAATTTCCTTATAAAATTATAATATATTTATGCTAAACATTTGTCAAAATAGAAATTACACCAACCCACTTACTCAAGATGAAGTATCATATGCTGATCCAAATATTGTCACTACTCTCATCGCTTTCAACGCTGCCTATTCTTATCTTATGCTCTTATTACAAGCTGTTTGGAGAACTGATGGACAAAAGAAAAAAATGTTGATAATGGGAGGAATGCCAGCACTTATGCATGGTGTTTTAAAACCCATTGCAACATTTCTTGCTAGTACGTATCCCTGAAGATTCTCTCATGCATGCACAAATATATTTTTTTACCTATGCATCTTAACACGATATATTATTCAAAAATTCATCTTAATTTAAAAGAAACTCCCGTCTCTAATGATATGAATGCAGGTGCCAGCTTTGGCTATTATGAATTTGACAACAAATCTAGTCCAAAAGACCAACTAAAAAAAGCTGTTGAAGCAGCATCTAAAGCTTTTTCATATAGTGATGAATTAGGTAATGCAGTGACAGCAGTTGATGCACTACCTGATGTATCGCAAGAGGTTTTTTTATTACTATGATCGAATTTTTTTATTTTCCCAACACATGATAAGTTATATAATTTGATTTGGCAATAGCAACATTTCTTTATGTTTACATTCTTTTTGTTTAACTGTTTATTATACTCCAAATACAATTATTATTTAAGGGTAGGGTAGAGGTGCGATCTGAAAACTATAAATAAACTGTAGTTTATTGTAAAATGTAGTTTTAAAATAAACTGTAGTTTATTGTAAAACGTAGTTTTTAAATAAACTACCGTTTATTTTTATGTACTGTAATTCATAGTTCACATCTCTATCTACGTGGTATATTGAATTTTTACATAGTAAATAAAAAATGCTTCTAATAAACTTTATAACATCATAACAATTTATATCAAATTTACATAATATGTAGTTTGAAACAGTTTGTTTATAATAATGAAGTTGTACAATATACATTGCCTTAAAATAAATCAACTTCACATATAACCAAAATTTCCCTGGGTGCTATATGATTTCTCTGGTAGTACAAAGAATTACTGATTTTGATTGGTCATATCATAAGATATCATATGATATTGGTTACACAGAGTTGTTCTGCAATCTATTAAAAATAAATCAAATACAAATTTGTCAAATTTAACTAGTATTGTTTTTGATTTTTTTTTAGTAATCTGTATATAATGCAGAATTAAGTAAATATTACAAAATAAACACTGAGATAAATACATATTAAGATAAATACTATAAGACAAAATAAAATCTTATTGGCAACTAGCTTATAGCATTGAGCAAAAATTTGTCAATTCTTATTTGGCACATTATTTTTAATCCTTATAAATTAAAAATTATTAATTAGACAATTAAGTATTTAAAATAGTAATTAAGTTTTGTATTTTTTTAAAAAAAAAATACATGTTATTCTTGGTTATACTGACATCTGGATATAATGACATCATAGTAAAATCTTTCTATACCAACATTTTTTTTCAAAAATTTAATATGAAATGTCGATATAACTCCCTGTACTGACATTTTGAATTTTTTTACTAATGTCTCAAAAATGTCAATATAACCAGAATGATGTGTAGTAATTAATAATAATACAACTTTGTATAATATAGAGATTGGACCAGAGAAAAAGGGCATATGCTCTGAAAGTATGGGCCAAGGGGTGGGAGATAACTATGAGGCATCTAAAGCCTAGGTAAACTGACCTTTCTAGATTGCCATCTAGAAGTAAAGGAGTGACTAATAAAGAATCTGAATAAAAAGATAGTTAGAATGTAGGTACTGGGGTTGTTACAAGGGCAAGAACAAGTAATAAGTAGCTAATTAGAAAGGTTGTGGCTTGAGATACAGAATGGCTTAACACAGCATCCTAAAAGATAACTTGAAATACAAATATAATAATAGCTATACAACAGATACTAACTAGGAAGAAGTTATTGAACATGTAGATGAATGCATGTGTAAAACATACACTGCTCTGTTGGGTTTATCTTGAGAATAGTTAAGTGTCCTAAATAGGCTAGTAAATATTGTGGTGTTGCAAAATCTACTACCTGTATAGTAAGTTGCACCTGCATTAGTTAGGGTTTGGCTTAATATATTAAGACCAAAAGGCTTAAATAGGTAATTCTATTGTTAGATTACAGATATGGCTAATGGTGTAGAACCACTAGCACTTTGAGCAAACTACTTAAATTAGGCACCAAAAGTATACATGTGGCTTGATGTACCTTTGTTTTAATATATAGTGCTTAAACTTACTTAATAAAATCTTGCTGACCAAAAGAATTACCTTTAAAAAATAAAATAAAAAAATAATATAAATATTGGAACTGTTTAACTATTAACCAATTAACTAATCAATATCTAATTAAATAGTTATAAAATTTATGACTAGTTATACTAAGTTAAATTTTATACATACTATATAGATTAAAATTTTAATTTATTTTACTAAAATTCATAAAATTTGCTAATTTGATTGGCTTATTAACACATAACTTTAACCAATTTGATTAATTCTAATCTCTAGTATAATATAAATAATAATAAATCTAAAAACATAAAAATATACTCAAGGAACACCAAGCTAAAGGCAAGAAAAGCATCTAGTTAAATATAAGAAACAAAAGTAATATGATAAATAATAAAAGATAGTAGAAGTTATATAATAGTATATAGATAAGATATATATGATATAATAGGTTTGAGAATTATCTAATAATTTAGAAACTAGTCTAGTGCTAAACAGTTGATAAAGAGATAAAATTTCATATAACAGGTTATATATATATACTAATTTAGTAACTGGATAAGCTAACACAGGGTTTTAAAATATAAATAATGAGATAAAGTTTTATAAAAATTACTAAATATAAAAAGATTTGCAAGAAAAAAGTCAAAAATAAGCAAACTTGATACTATAAATAGAAATAAACTATATTAAAAAGATCAAAAATAAGTAAACTAAAACCAGTTCTGCTAATATTTATAATAAATTAGATAGTTATAAATATATGAGTACTGCTAAGAAAAAAAGCTAATTGGACTTTTAATATATTTTGTGTATAGTTAGCTATCTATGAAAATTTTATTATTATAATAAATTTTTCATAAACACTTAACTATACACAAAATATATTAAAAGTCTGATCGACCTTTTTCTTTTGACAGCACTCATATATACTGTGCCTCATATTAAAAGAGCACATTTTGATATATATCTCATTTTGAAACAATTAACAAATTTTTATAACTTAAAAATATTCAAAATATCAAAAAATAATTTAAAACTTTTTATTAATATTATTAATTTTCAAAAATTTTAATTCTTATATTTTTTTATTTTAAATTTCTACTAAACAATCTACCTACTATATCTAGTCTAAATCATAGATATTATATCTAATTATTCATATTACAATTAAACTGAAATTATATTTCACTTGCTTCTATATCTTTCTATAATAATCCTTCTTGAAAATAAAACTATAAATCTTATTTTTCAAACACTTACTAAATTACTATATGTCTTCAAAAATAAGCTACCTCCTCTTTTTTTGAAAAAAAAATATAAGAAAATTTTTATTTCTAAAATAAGCTACACCTGATAATTTTTAAAATCCAGAAGTAGTATCTATATATAAAAGACAAAATTTTACCAAATAAAATACTAATTGTTACTTAATAGAAGTTGTTCAAAACATACATATTCTGAAAGTTTAAAGTAAATTAGAGAACTTTTTATTAAGATATTTTTGTATTTTATGTTCAAATATAAAATACAAGAATTTCTTTAAATATATATATTTTACATTCTAAACAACTTCTATTAAGTGACTTTTATTGATTTACTTAGTAGAATTTGGACTTTTGTATATAGAAACTACTTCCAGATTTTTAAAAAATAATAAAAATCAACTTTTCTGAAATTTTACCCAAAAACATGATTTTTGTATAACTTTTTTGCCAAAAAAGTAGATTGCTAAAGCCTTGTACTTATATAATTTGAAGTTTTAATTGTAATTAGAATTAGAGTTAGGGTAAAAGTATTTTTATAGTAAAATTGCCTTTCTGACATTTTTTATTAATGCAACAAGACAGGTTTAGACTTCTGTTTTTATATTTTTGCATTTTTGATTTTTAACTTTTTAGGCTAATTTATGTAAACAAATTTCTTAATTTTTTTTTTTGTTTTTTTTTTTATATTGCCAAATGTAGAAACTTTATTATTCAGGATTAACACCTTTTTACAGAGTAATTGATATACAGTTTCTAATTATATTTGTGCTACTATTACTAGTTACCCAATGTGGCATTATACTCCTTATTTTCCCTATATTACTTTTCCATTAACTATTTCAAGCCAACTTCAAGCTAGGGTCGGTTGGAGCAATCTACCATTACATGTCCTACCTATGTAATTATTTTTCATAGTTTTCTTTCCAATTAGTACATATTAACTGCCGCTATTGTGTTCATATCATGCCACCTTTTGGGTGTGGCTGTAATACAATCTGTATCTCAATTTTAACCTTTCTAATTAGTCCTTAATTACGTACTATATTACAAGATTTTTTTATTGTTACCTATTTTCATACTATTACACTCCTCTATTTACTTCTTGCAGCAATCTTATAATTTTTCCAAATTGGTTTATTCCAGTGGTTTTTCGCTTTTCTTGCTCCCATATTGGTGTACATAGCCCTCCATGTATTGGTACTGTACGGCATGGCTAGATTTATTGAATCTCCAGTTGTTATCTGCAGTGTACCACCTACTTTATACAATGCTTCCATAGTTGGTATAATGGACTGTGTACTATTGATGATCATTTTACTTCTAGCTTGGTAATACGAAGAGACCTGAAACTTTGACTTATAGCACATCAGTATGGCATCTATCATCGATGTTGTGATATGTAGTGCTTCCTTATTAGTTTTTCAATTTTCCAATTTTGTATGCCAGGGGTGTTCCTTTATTTGGTAAAGCCATCCTCTTACCACAGCCCCTTACTGTATTCACCGCTTCTCTCACCACTTCCAGATATACTGCATTTAGCCATCCTCCCAATCAAGATTCCCAAGACCACCTTAGGGTTGTTGGTGCTACCTAGCCAATCGAGGATTTATATACACAGCTTTCTGCAGTATTACTTTCTGTAACACTATGTCACATGTAGTGCCCAATCTTCTCTACGGCTTAGTACTCCTTCCAAGAATTCTTAATAGGCCAAATTTCATGATTTTAATTAGTTAATCTATATATAAAAGGCATATAGTGTAAGGCTTTAGCAGATCTCCAAAAAAGGGTAGCTTATTTTTAAAAACATACAGTACAACTTAAAAATAACTTTATCACAATAATTCAAAAAATATTATTTCACATAACAACAAAATTTAAATACTATATTTAATTCAAGGCACTCTACTATCTAATTTATATAACTATTTATATATTCAACTTGCTCTCTTCTCTTCAATAAAATTTTAATATACTTTAATTAAGAAATCTAGAAAATAAAAATATATATTAATATAAATAGGACTTCAAAAAGGTATTATATTTAATTGATATTTCTCTAGTTAACTAAAGAATAAATATAGTATAACATGATTTAGTTTACTATATAAATCTAATATAGGCTAAATATGAAATTGCTCCAAGGTAAACTTTTTTTTATACTAGTGTCATGATTGCAAATCGATCATTGGTAGAATATAACCGAATTGGGTAATCAATTGCATAATTATTTAGATTTGGCACATAGTAGATATAGTATATTTAGTATATTTAGTAGATTTAGAATATTCAGGATATTTGGCATATTTGATACAGTATATTGGGGATATTTAGGATATTTGGGACATATAGTATATTTAGCATATATAGTATATTTAGCATATATGGTATATTTAGCATATAGACAAATAGTATATAAACATAGCATTTATTCTGATGTAAAAGATAGAGTAGGATATCTCAAGTTATTAATAAACCATTTACCGGCCAAATCCACACCTCTTTCGAGGGTGGTATTTTTCAAGTTATCACATTTGGTAGATTACTGTGAGATCATACACCATTCATAAAGTTTCAAGGAAGGTTAAATCACCTTGACCAATGTACCATGTCTAAAGGATGTGAAGATAACAAATACATGCAGTGGAAAAAACAAATGCATATAGTAATAAATTTAAGACATAACAACTAATGACTAAGAAAAAGAAAAGTCGAAAGGAATAACTAAGTCAACCGAATTAAAGTTGGAATTAAGTTATAAAGAATCAAAGTTAAAGCTATAAAAAAATGACAAAGTCAAAATATAGGGACAGACAAAATTGAGACATAAGAAATCGTAAAAGTCGAAGCTTAAGAAGGAAAAGCCAAGACAATTAGTTAGATAAAGTTTAAGAATGAAGCACCAAAAGATTTTAGAACAAGAATAGTATTCAAGGATACTTCCCTAATGTAATAAGATTGTAGAAAATAACCGAAAGAAAGAAAAACAAGTTTTTTGAAATATACATAGTAAAAGAAACTAGGCCAGCAACATTTTTTGGAACAAGAATAAGCAACAAAGTGCTTAAGTAAGACAAATCAACAATTACGTAACACAAGTGTAATCCGAAAGCTTAATCGAAATGATCAATGAATAAGCTTTAAAGTGATGAACATAAGCTCTAGGGATCTACAATTAAACTACAAAGAATTAAGTAATTATGACAGAAGTCTGTTATAAAAATCAACGCTTAGAAAATAGAACAATATGATATGTACGTAATAAGTCAGAAAAATAGTCTGAGTGACAGACTTGATCTCATAGGGTCGACAAAAAAAAAAAAAAAAAAAAAACAGCGCATTAATAATTGGCCAAGACCTAAAATAAAGCTTAATAATAAAAATTTTTGCCCTAAAATTTTTTATTTTTGTATTATTAATTAAAAAAAAAAAAATGTATGAAGTTTATCAAATTCACCAATTCTATCTATTTTGATCTGTCTATATGGTTGGTTAAGTAAACTATTTAGCATTTTCTGCTAGTTAGATACAATTAAGCTATATCTCTTCTCTATATTCCTTCTAATCTTTAGTTCTTCTATTTTTTTTGACTTTTTGATACTATTTATTGTACAAGATCTTTGCCCAATTCTTCAGACCTTCTTTGCTTAATAGAAACCCCGAATCGGAAATCACGGAAAGCACAAACTCAAATAAATATGAAGCAATGACAACAGAGCCTTCAAAACAGTGAAATGATCTGAGAAAGCACAGGAAGAGAAACATCCTGCAGCTATTGTGGAAGAAAAACCCATGATATCAGCAAGTGCCCAGAAGTACATGCGATGGGAAAAAAATGTGCCGCACTTCTTGCAACACTCACTATGGAACAAGCCATCGAAGCTATCGACGAAGTTTTTGGAGACCTTTATCTTGACGATGAACAAGTGCCCCAGGCACTAGAGTTCGTGTTGGGTATCATAAAATTGGTTATTGTGTATAATGAAAATGAAGAAACCTATTTAGATGTTGATTTACTTCCGAATATTGAACCATCTGATGAAGTGAAGAATCAAGACGAATCAGATGAGTATAAGGCATTTACTTACCAAAGAACAGTGGAGACAAATTATACTAAACTTAAATACAAAGCTGAAATGGTAAAAGACAATTACTTGGATTGGCTAAGAGGCTTTGAATACGATAATAATGATGAGGCTAAAACCAACAACCTTGGACAACATCATTAAAACGAAAGCAAATTCGAAATAGATGAAAGTAAGGAACCCGATCATAATCAAAAAACTGCTGTAATGGATTGGATCAATGAAATGAATACAGTTTGGCCTTATTACTAAAGAGAAATTGTTGAAGAGGATAATCACTGGAAGCCCAATACTTACCAAAAGTCTGATGAAATGAAAAATAGTGATGAAGCCGATGACCTAAAAGATGATAAGATAGAAAAAGCTTACGATATCAAAGATGAAAAAGATAAGACAGTTAATGAAGAAATCTTAAATGAAAAGCATGAAGAAGACAAAAAGGGCAAATATAAAACATTCACTGATTATCAAAGATCAACTGATACGGCCGATTTGAAAAAAACTTTCAAAGACAATTATTATGTGGACAAACTGGATGGTGTTGAAAATTTTGAGTTTAATTATAATGCCGATGAAGACACCAGTAGTAATGAAGTCGACGAAAACAAGACAAATTATAACAGTGAATTTAATAATGATGATGACGAAACAATGATTGTTGAAGAAAATGAAATAATGAATAACATAAGAAGAGGTATTAGTAATAGCAAAATACCAAATAAAGATAACAATACAAACAAAATACTTAATAGTAAAAAGCTCGATCATACATATGAAACCTGAATAAAAAAGGTGGACAAATTAAGGAACATGGTTAGTAAGTTGAATAGAGTTAAACTTGAAACCGGCAAACTTGGGGCATTCAATTTTTATCAAAAATCCGACAACATGAGTTATAGCTATAAAAAACTAGATCTGAATTGGGTGTGGAAAAGATGGAAAAGAAGGGTCGAAAAATTTAAAAGTCATCAAAATGGATTTGGATTTGGAAAAGAAGAACATAAGGCATTCGATTACTATCAAGAGTCTGCTGAAATAGGATATCTTATTAAAATGTATAATTACGAATATAATGGAAGCAGATTCAAAGTATACATGCCGACGAAATTATTTTGGGTTCAAAAACCCGAAATTAAAATTTGAAGACGAAATTGTTTTTGACCTATTTTTACTTAAAAGACGAAATTTTTTGACACTTTTTTTGAATAGACGAAATTATAAGGAGTATAAATATATAAATTTTATTTGCTCTTTCTTATAAAAAATTTTAATTTGCTCTAATGGAGACGAAATAGGCCTTTTTTGAAAATCAATTTCGGTGGCATCACTAATTCAAAGATGAAAGAGAAATCAATATAGGCTCGGCACCTAATAATGCTATTCCATTAAAGAATAGATTGACACGTGAAAGAACTAAAAAAAAATATAAGATAACTATATACTATCAATAATTTTATAATAATCCTGATGAAACAAATCAGGCTAAAGAAATCTACAAGATTGGACATTATTATAAAAAAGGAATTGAAATCGAAATAGACAAACAGAAGACGTTTACTTATTATCAAGAAGCTGTCGATTTGGGCAATACTGACGAATTATATACCGCCAAGCACTGTTATCAACATGACATTGGAGTCAAAAAAGATGAGCATATAGTATTCATTTATTATCAAAGTGACAAGTGGCAAGATTTAGCTAAACCGACGTACTTTGATGAAACGTTCGATCCCGGAGGAAAATCAGTAATCAGAGAAAACTAAGCTACCCAACCAACATTACTATAACTACAACGATGAAAATAAATACCAAAAACTTCCAAATTTATATAAATTCATAGAATGAATTATTAAGAAGGGGGAAATAGAAATTGGTAATGAAATAACTGCTAAAAACAGACAAAAAACATTCAAATGGTATTTAAACCCTGTTGAAGTTAGTAATTCAGATAGACGACATAACCTTGGATATTGTTATAAACATAGAAGCAAAGATAAAGTGAACGAACATAAAGCATTCAAACAACATTTGAACTTTGCTGAAGGTAGCAGCAATTCAGATGAACTGGTGAATAACAAATTCAATAATGACACGACGGTTGTTGAAAAAAATAATAGAAGATATGGCCCTGAACAACATTATGAAATCCAAATTGAAAATTATAAGAACCAAACATCCAATAATCAATGAAGGCCTTTAAAATTATGGCATGTTCTTGGAATATCTAAGATTGGATTTAGTTATGGAAAGAGGACTGCTATCAAGAAAAATGAACACGAAGCATTTGTTTATTATCAAAAATCAGCTGAAGCATCTGTGGTAAAAACTTCTTATTACTTACCACTCTGATGAATAAAATCTTACAATTTGATCCCTGAGGATCAATTTTGTTTGTGGAATAAACAAATTAGATGGAGAAAAATATCACGATTGCAAATCGATCATTAGCAGAATATAACTGAATTGGGCGATTGATTGTATAATTATTTAGGTTTGGCGCATAGTATATATAGTAGATTTAGCATATTTAGTAGATTTAGGATATTTAGGATATTTGGCATATTTGACACATTGGGGATTTGGGACATATAGTATATTTAGCATATATAGTATATTTAGCATATACAGTATATTTAGCATATAGGCAAATAGTATATAAACGTAGTATTTATTCTGATGTAAAAGATAAATTAGGATATCTCAAGTTATTAATAAACCGTTTACCGGCCAAATCCATGCCTCTTTCGAAGGTGGTATTTTTCGAGTTATTACACTAGGTAAATTGATCTTGTCAATTAATTAAAAGTTGTAAAACTCATCTTTGCAGTTTTAATAATGGTTAAGGTGTTAAAATCTATCTAGTGGGTACCAAGATATCTTTAAAAACATTTATTTTACTATATAAACTTCTTTGCAAACAATACTATTGTTTGCAAAAAAGTTTATATAGTAAAAGAAATAATTTTCAAAGATATCTTGGCACCCACTAGGCTAGTATTAACACTTTAACCATTATTAAAACTGCAAAGATAAGCTCTAAAACTTTTAATTAATTGACAAGATCGATTAATTTAGTACAAAAAAAAGTTTATCTTGAAGCAATATAGTAAACTAAGTTATGTTATATTATGTTTATTTTTTAGTTAACTAAAGAATTATCAATTAAAGAAAAAAGATCTAAAACTACTTTTTCAAATATTATAAATTAGTCTAAAAATAGACAACTTTTAATAATAATATTATATCTTATACTAAAAATGGTTTCTTAAAACTATCTAATCTAATCTATTTTTTAATTACTAATATTTAATTTTCTATTTTTCTCTCTGCTAAAATTATATTTATTTTATTTTATTTTGGTTTAATTTTTTATCATATATAAAAAGGTTCTCTTCTATTTTATCTAAACTATTAATAATTTGTTTTATTTTCTATCTTGTATTAAAAATGAAATAATTTATTTCTAGTTATTTTAGAGGTATTATATTATACAATAGTGTAGTTATAAGAAATAATATTGGTTAATTCTATATTTATATCTGCTTGATATATATATTTTTTATATTTAAGTGATTCTACCTTTATTCATATGAGCTATTATATAATTTATATACACGAATGTACTAAATTTTTACAACTTGTAGCTCTAATGCAATAAAAACTCAATAAGTAAAAACCTAATACAACCTGCTATAACAACTATTAGTCTCACTCAGAATTCAAAACTTACTTCAGATTTTGATCATCGAAATAATGCCCCTCTCGATTATTGACAGGCTGTTATATACTGTATCAAGATCTCTTTTTTCTTTTCTAATTCTTCTTCTCAAGGGGCATAAGACAAAAAAGCAAAATTTTTTAAAAAAAAATATAAAAATGACCAAAAAAAGAAAAAACAGAAAAGAAAAAAAAAACACTAATTGTGAAAAAGAAAAAACATGAAAAGAAATCTAAAACCCTAAAGGCACTATAATAACCCATGTGTAGCTAATAAAAATTATATAACAAATACAATATTTGTATATCTCTACTATAAAGCTTCGCCTTAATATTAAATTTATTTTTTGACCTTCTTGTCAACTCTAAATAGTTCTGTTACCCAAGAGTTCCCAGGCTGGGTTCTATGAAGTAGTGCCATATTCGTCTATAAACAAACATGTAGTTGTATTTCGCTAGTTTATCTGAATTTGGGAAGTAAACAATGCTGATTTTTTGGAGAGGGTAAGCCAAATTTCCTACTTTTTGTAAAAAAAATTTGGAAGGCCAGCAGGAAAGCGGAAGTGAGTAAGAAAGGAGCCACTTGGCCAAGTAAAAGAGTGTGGCTTGAGAATAGCAAGTTCTTTACTATTCTCTGGTTAATTCACAACAGATTGCTTCAGAAAACCATAATCCTCACCAAAATTTTGTATACAATGGTACACTTCTCCAGCTAGTTATTTTGTATAAAGACACTTTTAGCTTGCATGTCAAATATATAAAGGAGTCTCTATAAAGCACAAAAGGTTGACCTTTATAAAAACCGCACTGTTGTCTACCCACTACAGATATTATTTTATACTCCAGTATCCAAATGTAACTTTTCTTTCATGTGAAATTTTGGTCCAAGTGATTATCAGAAAGAGTTCTCATTAATTGATTGCTTGATATATATTATATAATTAGCTTAATTTCTTATATAATATTATTAATAAATATATATATATATATATATAAAGAAAGTTTTTGTATAGATATTATATAATATTTATATAAAATAATTAATAAAGATATAAGCAAGATCTTATTTTAATACTAAAAAAAAATAAATAAAATTATTACTTTAAAATAAATTGTTTTTATATTAGGAGATATGGTGACTTAGTGTAGTGGTCTAGTCATCACCCTCTTCAAGTGGCAGGTCTAGAGTTCAAATCCCATGAATGACAAATTTTGAAAAATAGGCTTGTGTTTAGTTAACGGCTATGCTTATCGGTTGGATCTAATCTGTAACTTTGGTTATACTATCTAGTAATGGGACAATAGTGCAATAAATCCAAGGAACTGGCATAACCAAAAACCTATTTGGGAAGTCCTGAGCTAAAAGTAGCAGTGATCTATGATGGTATCACAAGAGGGCTGAATTCGAGCTGGGGCCCAAGATTGAAGAACTGAGTGACCAGGTCCTAATAGCAGAAGACATACTACCAAACTTCTGGGTTGTCGCACCGGAGAAAAAGAACATATGATCCAAAAGTATGTACCAAGAGGGGGCGTCCTTTAGGCACCTAAAGCCTGGGCAGACCGACCCGTCTGAGTAGCTAGCTGGAAGTAAGAGAGTGATCAATAAAGAATCCAGATAAGAAGACAGTCTAATTGTAGGTTGTTGTGAACCTAATAAGGGCAGAAGTAGGTAATGAGCCTAATTAGAAAAGTTGGGTTATGGATCGGGTTACGACAGCACCCTTAAGGGGGTGGCTTAAGATACAAACTTGGTGCGGAGCACAACAGGTACTAGTTAGGCAGGAGATCAATGATTAGCCCTGCTCCAAGTGTATGGGTCAAGCCGTAGCATGGTGTTACTAAAGACTGGGGTAGGATATGTATCCTAGCAAAAAGTTAGTTACCAGTTTCAGATTTGAGGCTTGGTGCAACTTCACAGTAGTGGTGCAGCTATCATATCTAGGGCTTAGTAAGGCAACTGGGTGGTCAGGTGTTTCAGTAAATATTAGTTCTAAGATACTAGCACCTGTCGTTTAGAAATAGTTCTCATATGCTTTTTGCTAACAGGCTTAGAGTTTATCACTTACCATCTATGTTAGTTAGCTAGCATTATTTGTACACGTAAATTAATTACTAAAATAAATACCTGGCAAGATATGCCAAAGTAAAAAAAAAAAAAAAAAATTGTTTTTATATTTTTAATTATATTTTAGAATAAAGAGTATATTAACTAATAGATTTGCGATTCTGTTACTATATGATCATTATATGTTGTCTATATAGCTATACAAAATCTATTATATAAATATTAGAGATTTTATCTAAATTAGGCTAATCTGTATAGTTTACAGATCAAAATTAAGTTTCCCAGATTAGATAGATTATTGTATACCAAATAAAATATTATTAAAAAACAAACTTCAGATAGAGCTTAAATATATTTTTATAAATATTAATATATACTGTTTATTATTAAGTATACTTTACAATCTGAACTTATATAAATTACCTTTAAAATATTCTTAGTATTATATATTTTTTAGTTTAATTTATTATAAACCAGACTTATCTACTACTTTTTTTAAAAGTAAATAAAAAAAATAAATAAAAAAAATATCAAAATAAAAAATAAATTAGAAAATAAATAAATTGAAAAAATAAATTAAAAAATAATTAAATAAATTAAAAAAAATAAATTAAAAAATATAAAAATAAAAATCATATAACACTTTATACTTTAGCTAACCACAATCACTAGTCAAATATAAGAAATTCGACTACTGAATGAAATGGCCGATTCGACCTAAATTCGATAGTCGAATAATTGGCTAATTTTATATCAAATTGTTGAAACAATTTGATCTGAATTCGATAGTCAAATAATTAGCTAATTTTATATCGAATTGTTGTAACAATTTGACCTGAATTCGATAGTTGAATAATTGGCTTAGTTTATATCGAATTGTTGAAACAATTTGACCTGAATTCAATAATCGAATTACTCCAACAATTTGATATAAAATTAGCCAATTATTCAACTATCGAATTCAGGTCGAATTGGCCATTTCATTTGGTAGTCGAATGCTATAATAAATTGATAAGGATTTGATTACCGAATACTAATATAAAATAGGGCGATTACTAAACATTCAGAATAAAATTAGGTAGTCGAATATTAGAATATTTATACATAATAATAATAAAATAAATCAGACTATAATCGGAAAAAATTTGATATATTTATTAATAATTAATAAGCATAGATACAAATATATACAAAATAAAAAAAAATATTAAGCAAAAAAAAAATTAATCGTTTACTTGGTCGTTCTACTATAATATCAGAAGCTAATCTTTTACCACTTGCTTTGTCATCACCATTTCTACCACCCCCATTTTCACCACCATCATTACCATCCTCACCTTCATTATAATCACCATCATTATCTTTATTATCTTCATCATCTTCATTATCTTCATCATCATCTTCTTTATCCCCTTCATCCCTACTAGAATAAATTTCTTCATTTTCTCCACCTGCTGCCCAATTGGGTATACCTTTAGGTCTCTGAACTCTCAACGTATGTGATCTTCTACGGGACGTTTTTGAGCTAGCATGATTTTTGGATCAAGAACGTTATACAACAAGTGAATTAACTATTAAAATAAAAAACAAAAAAATAAATAAATTTTTATAATTAGTAAATTTGATGCCGAATAATATGGTATTTAACCTGTATTCGATTAGATTGAATGCAGGTCGAATACTATATATTAAATATTAGTTGAATTAATGTAATATTATATATTAAAGATTAGTCAAATAATATTAATATGTATAACAGCATATATTAAATATTAGTTGAATTAATTTAACAAACAAAAAAAAAAAATTTATACCTCACTCGACCTTCAAGATAGTCTATAAACATTAATATACAATTGTTCTCTCTCATCCATAGCCTTACAAGGGTCTGATAGTTCAGATGAATAGATGACATTATCCATTAATAAATTTGTTAATTCATCCGTATTATATTTGGTGATCTGGGGTTCTTTCTTTCTATAAAGGTATTTGAATGCCAAGGCCCGTCGAGCCATTTTCTGTAAGTTAGAAAAAAAAAATTATAATAAATAATGAAAAATATAATAAAATAAATAATGAAAATTATAAAAAAATAAATAATAAAAATTATAATAAAATAAATAAAATAAATAAAGAAAACATGCATTACCTCTCCAATAATTATTATGTATACATTCATCGAAGTTCTTTGTTTTATCTGAATCCTGGCATATAGCCCAAGTGCTATGGGTTGATTTGATACATTGTTGCAGAATGCTTCCCAATTCTGTCCGATTATTATTAAACTGCTGGCCCAAAAGGTCGAATAGTGCAGGGATTGTATTTTTACTTAGGCGTTCTTTTTGGTCCTTCCATTTTTTGGTGAAGTCAAGTCCATACTCTTCACCTTTTTCTTTAAGAATGTAAAAGATTTCTTTCTAATAATAAAATTAAAAATAAAATAAAAAAATAA